TCTGTTTTTCATGTCTGGCTTCGTACAAGCCAGGCTATGTTTGTTTATTTGACGCTGACTTGTGCTAGATAAATATGACCTATGCCAGATAAATATAGGTTGGATTCAAAGAATTGGTATCCAGGCTATTTATGTTTGCAGCTTGACTGAGTCAGCTTTAATCAAAGTAAAGAAGTAAAATCTGAATATAGAAAAGGAACCAGGTATACAATAACACAGGTTATAAATTGCTTTCATGTATTTTCTTCTCTTTGCAAAACAATATTTTTCTGACCTTTATGATGAAGTTGCCACTCACCCCCTTTAGATCTGACACCATCCATAGCCACAAAAATGGCATTTCCCAGATCAGGGACATGCACAAAAGCAGGTGAAGGTGGGAGTGACCTTCAGGCTCACCTGGGGGGGCACTGCTATGTGAGCAGTACCTGGAGCAAAGCTTTGCTCTCTTTGCTTTTGATCACTCAAGGCTGTGCAACTCTCCCCTTCCAAACTCAGAAGAGGCAGCCCAAAGAAAACACTGCTGGCAGAGGATCCCCAGGAGTCTCTGGGCAATAAGCTGGAAGTGGCTGCATTTTACAGAAATTCATAGTCAAAAACTAGTGCTTCTCTGTCAAAACTGTGGCTGAAACAGAGTCCTTTGTCTCTGAAGGCTGAATCTCACATTATTCCCGGAATAAAATGAGGAAAACAATCTGATCTGAAGCCATCACCACGGGCAGCAGGGACTTCCCAAGCAGCACAACCAAGGTGCTGCCAGTTTCAGGTCTGAGCCATGGGCACGTCCTGGATCTGAGGATCTGAGCACTGCCTGTGTGAGACTGAATTTAAAGCATTTTCCTTTCCCTGCTACATTAACTGAGGGATAAGCACCTTCCTGCAGCTTGAGGGTGAGTCTGCAGAGGGAGACAAGGTGGTGGGTGATGGGTGAAGGCAGGGACACCTCCCACCATCCCAGATTGCTCCAAGCCACATCCAACCCAGCCTTGGAAACTTCCAGGGTTGGGGCAACCAAACTCTGAAAAAATTAATCATCTTTTATGTAGATTATTGCAGAAGATTAAGATGCACATGAATATGGGTTTTTTTCCTGATAATTTGAGTTTTTACTGGTTTTTTGGGTTTTTTTAATATATAGCTCATGTTGCACAAAGAATTGATGGAGATCATTGTATCCTGTCCCTTTTTTAACCAACACCCAGGGTGTGCAGAAAGGCTGCTCTAACTAGAGCGATTTTAGTGCTTTCCAGTGAGGCCACTGCTTGGGAAACATTACTCTATTAAACAGAACAAAAAATATCACATAGAACCCCACCCACCCCCGCAAAAAACCCCCCAAAAAATATAAAAACAGTTGTTGGGGAATAGAAAAGTTTCTGGCAAGAGAAAAGACCCCCATGGAAAATCAGATTCCTCACCACTGCCCAGTTCAGACTTTTGCCTGTTGGTGCTGGTCCATTAAAAACCTTTATTTTTTGGTAAAAGGAAATCCTGTTTTTCTGGCTTGTGCTTGTCATGATGGCCTCAAGGGAGCTTTAAATATTCATTTACTTTACCAGAGTTCAGAAATACTTTGCTCAAACCAATTAAGTTTTTAATTAAAATGCATTAGAAGGAGAATCTTGCATATTAAATTTCTCCTTTTATTTTATTTATTTTTTTTTTTGAAGAGACACAGCAATCAGTAGAGTTTGGCAGCCCCTGCATTACGAGTTGAAGCCAAATTACATTTTCAACCTTTGCTTGTGAATTGCCTGACTCAGAACTGAAGCTCACGGAGAAGAACCTTGCAACTCCATTTACCTTTTCCCAATGTGCTCATTTATGTATTGATCATATTCCCCAGCTTCCTGTGACTGAAATGCTGTAATTTTAAAAATAAGCAGCGTTTCATCAGCGGGCATCGTGCTTCTGTGGATTGCAAGGCCAATATCTGCAATTCTCTTAATGTAGGAGCTGCTGCAGTAATTGATCTGTGCCAGCACCCACCACCACTTGAATGATAAATCCATGTTTTAAACAAACTGGAATAAAAAAACTATAGTGAGCCAGGCAAAAAAAAAAAAAAAAATGTGTGGAGAGAGTCAATAGAGAAAGATGTGATAAAATAAACTGTTACAGAGCCTCCTCTGTGCAATGTCTTGGGAGGGGATTTAGGCATGGGGTGTCTAGAAGAGGTGACTGATGATGTTGGTTTCAAAAAAAATTAATCTTCAGTCTTCTTGTTGTTTTGTGCTTACCCAAAACACACAAAATCCCATACCACTGGGACAGCAGGATACAGAAAATATTGCCATTAGTGGGATGAGTCTGAAATCCAGTTTTCCATGCTTGTTATTAGAGATAGGAAAACTTACTTGCAGTCTTCATAAACTTGATTTCATGTAGGCTGCTGATATAAAATGAAAAATGCCACCATAACACAAAAATACTTTTAGTTTGCTTGGAAAACAAATTGTGTACAGTGAAAAACAACCATCTCCAAAGTAAAGACAGGAATATTTTATAAAGATACATTAATCTCAGATGAACCTCGGGTGAAATTACTTTTCTGTAAGGCCAGAACTATAAGAACAAAAATAAAGAGAAAATTCTGGGCACATATCTCCTCAAAGGAGAAAAATGTCTGTATTTGGACATTTTCTAGACTCCTCAGATGGAGGCACCTGGCAGCACCTCTTCACTGGCCCATGGTGTAATATAAAATAATGACAATATTACTGCAGAGGCAGAAATGTGTCCCCAGAGGGATGAACAGCAGAGCCTATTCCCACCCAAAACACAACCCAAGGGGCCCAGGAGAGCCTGTGGACTTCCACCAAGATAGAAAATGTATCAATTGGCTTTGAGCCTAGGATTAAACAGTCAGCAATTCTGCATGTATAATTTGTAGGTTACCGATGGCAGTGTCACCCTTGGCTGCTCCCCCTCAAGCAGATCCCCCTCCCGTGGTTCACCCTCATCCCTGTCAGGGATAAATGGGGAATAAAAGAACTGTGGCAAGAGGCAATCTATATTTTTCATTTCATGCTTTGACACGTGAAACAGCCTGTTTCAACTCAATGCTTGGGTTTAAAATTTACTGTTACAGCTCTGTGTTTAGGCAAAAAAAGCCTGTTTGCTTTTTAAATATTTGCCTTCCTGTTGTTCATCATCCTTTGTCCCTTTAAATGGGGGCCCATTGGTACCTTTTTCAAGTTGACAAGAACACTGGGAAATAGAAAACCAAAAAAAATTAATTTCTAAATTGAGAAGCAAATGTTTTAATTTTTATTTTTTTATCTGATTGCAGCTAGAGACTTGGTTTTCGTGAACAAATGAACAGAGTTAACTTTTCAGATGTCCTTCCACAACTATCCAAGTGTCATCTCCTCCCAGACATGGCCCTCACCACCAGATCCCAGCATCAGGAGTCAGCCCTGGCTGAGCTGCATGGAAAAGGCCATGAACAGAACAAGAAATTTCCTCATGCCTGTGAAAATGGGGGGAGCTGCCTGACTTCCCAGGGAAGAGCTGAGCTCAGCATCACCCCATGGAGATGTTCAGCTGTTTCCTCTTCCCACTGTGTCTGGACCACATTTCCAACATGCCCAAGTCTCCCTTTGCCTTATGGTGGGGTTGAAGGCACCAAACCTGTGCAGTTGAGTGCCTAAAAGGCAATAACGATGTTGGAAATGGATGTTCAGAGCATTTCTGGCCATCTTGCCCAAACAGCACCTTGCTGCCACACTCAGCAATTTTCCAGTGCCTCGCAAGCTCCTGGCCCCACCATCCCTGCCAGCCCTGGGCTGTGGTGGGAACTCAGCGTGAAGAGGAGCAGAAGGGTTTGGAGAGAATCCCCTACCCAAGCCTGGTTCCCAGTCTCTGGTCAAGGTCCTGTTTGGAAGGCCATGAGTTCCAAATGTGAATTATAGATGGAATTAGGTCATCCCTGAAAAATAATCAGAATCCTCTTTCTTTGTCAGATGATCAGCTCCCTAAAAACTCTTCCTAGCAAAACCACAGGGAACACATGGATTTCCAGGTCATAATTTGGACTTGTGTATTTAAATTCCTTTATGGCATAGCCAGGGCCCTGTAAGTCACAGAGACACTTTGGAAAGAGACCCACATTCAAAAAACACATCTTCAATGATAAAAAAAAAGGTAGAAACTTTTGGGTTGTTTGTTTGGTTGGTTTTTTTTGCCAGCAGGAATCCTTTAGCAAATGCATCTGACATTGCCTGCCAAGTGTGGTCAGCCAGGGATGAACAAACACAGGGGAGAAAACTGCTGGAGCCTGCAGGGCTCCTGTAGGCACTCAGAGAGCTTTTCATAAAATCAACAGGAAACTGGACAGCAGGACTGACCTACAGCTCTCTGACCCCACTCCTCTGTGGCATTTAGGGTCTGCCTGTGTAACTGGCACAGCCTTATAGATATATGTATTTAATATATATATATTATATATGTGTGTGTATGTCTGTTTTGTTTGTTTGTTTTGAGTTTTTTTGTTTGTTTGGGTTTTTTTGGTTTTTCCCAGCCATAGAGGCAATGGCTGAAGCATCCACAACATCCTAGAAATACCCAGAGGAAGCAAGCCATGAGTCTGAGTAGGGATGCATCAAGCATTTAAACCTTTCTGCACTGCTCTCACCTGTCCTCAAGGTGCTCTTGAAACTCCTGACAGGAGCCAAAGTCCCCAGTGAGATCCCTGAGGCTACTGGTCCTTACCTGTGCCCTGTGAGACTCCAGCTGGTGACCTGCTGCTGCTCTGCCAAATTCTACCAACTGTACAACACAATCCTGAGAAGGCAAAACCCTCCCAGCAGTGAAACACACCTGTGTTGGTGGCCATCAGTGGTCCACACCTGGGAGCAAGTGCTTCTGCAGTAAAAATTTGGCCTGAAGGCCAGAAAAAGCCTGAGAATAAAGTTGTCTGAGCTGCACTGAAGTTCCCAGCTCAGCATTAGACTGAAACCACTGACATATGGCAGCCTCAAAAAACAACCCAAAACCTGTTGAGTTTAATATTTTATGCTCACTATGGAAAGCTGAAGCTTCATCAAGATGAAGATGGCACAATAAATGGACAGACTGAAGAAAGTGCTTTATAACTGCAGAGTGCCCAGTGACCCACAAGAGGCTTCTGCAGCATCCCAGTGCTGTATCCCTGGACACGGAATGGGAGGGAAAATGCAAATTTCACAAGTTGCCAGTGGAGATTTGTGCTCAGCTGGTTAAATGCCTGAGCTTTCCTCACCAGAAAAGTGCTGCTCACTGTCACAGTGTGCTTTGCTGTGCAGCCAAGCCCAGCAAAGCAATTACTGCTGACCTGGAGGTGAAGGGCATGCAGGCACTGCTGGGATGCTTCAGGCATTAATGGAACTCACACTCCCCATTTGGGAATCCAGCAGCTAAATGTGCTCCATCCCATGCTGTGTCACACGTGTGATCATCCTTTCTCAGCTCTCTGCAGTCTCTGCTGCCAGAAGAACTCCACGATGACGGCGCCTGATGCAGGCTGGAAGAGATGGATGTTTATTATTGTTAAACATCCCTGAATAAATATCTAGAGAGTATCATAACATGATCAGAGGCTGCCTCTGATCTGATAGTAAGAGGTACTGTACAGAGTAAGTTGTGCAGCCAGAAGGTTCCAGCTATTAAAACCTGAACTCCCAAAGCAGAGCACTTCCAGGAACTTGCTTGGGTGTCAAGCAAGGAGGTAAAAAACTTGAATTAATGAATGATTTGTGACAGAAAAATCTGATCTGGCTGATGGTGACAGGGTGCAGGAGGTCTGGTGTGATGCACAAGGGATTGATTAGGAGGAGCTGTCACTTGGGATGATGGATTTCTGGCACGTGGGGTGCACGAGCAGTTTTTCCTGCAAACACAGAGTTGTGCCTGTAATCAGGCTGAGACACACACACAGAGCTACATCCACACAGTGCTAAATAAAAAACTGCTCATACCCTAGCCCTGGCCACAAGGCTGGGCAGCCAGATCTGGCTTTCATCCACACGAATTGCCACTAATCCTCTACCGCAGCATTGTGCTGGTGAGCCATGGGCTAAGCATGAATTCACTTACATGGACCAGCCTGTTCCAGTGCTTCAGCTGATTTCTCTGGCCCTCTGATTTAGCATCATAGAAGTGCCCTCAGGATTCCTTTCAAACCCATTCTCTATGGTCTGGTTAAATGTGGAAACAATAAAATAAATAAAAATAATAAAATATAATAATTTTTTAAAACCCAAAAAAACCAACATAGAACGAAACAACCTCCCCAAAATCAGCTTTCAGTGCTACCCCCCCAAAAAAACTATTTATTATTCATATTGGTCAAAGTTTTGAGTGAACAAGGGATGAAGGCTGCCTTCTCTGAGGGGAAAACACCCCAATAAACAGTGTTTGAATAGGAAAATGTCTATTACAGGTTGTGCAGAGCCGTGGAAAATGTGAATCCAGGAGCAGCTTTATGAGAGGTGACTCAGACATTGGTCATGCCCAGAAGAGCAGTCAAAACAGTGAGGAAGAGAGTGACAGGAAAGCACCTGCATTGCAGAGCTGATGTGACTCAGAGGAGAGTTTCATCCCCAGCCTTGCAGATTTTTGTCCTGTCGTGCAAGTCCCGTCCCCAGGAGCATCCCAAATCCATCCAGTCTGTCTTTCCCTACCAGCTGTAAGCCTGGGAGTTTGGGGCTCACACTCAGGAACTTTTCCCTTCCTTCCCAGAGATTAAATTTTCGGGGAAGAGAGGGTCCCCTTCAATGCAGTTTTTCATTCAGGATGAGAAACTGTTTTGGCCACAAAACTATTTGAAAATTCAGGTGGGTTTCACCAAACTCTCCCTACTAGCATGGTTAGGATTGTGTTGATTAAAGTTGACTCTGCCCTGAAAACGGTGGATAATCAAATAAGATCAAAATTGAATGGAAAAAGAGGGTTACAATTTTCTAAGAATCCAAGTGTTGTCTTTTCTCCAGTTCCTCTGTTTTTCAGTCTTCAAAAAGCTAGAAATGTGCCAGTGAAAGGAAAAGGCCTGACTCCAGTTCAAAGACGATTCCCACTGGTCTTCTTGTCTCACCAGGGTGACTTCCAGAGAGGACTGGAGTTAGATTACTACCAAGGATTGCAGAAATGTTGCTTGGATGTTTTTCCTGCAAGCACAAATATTGGGATCAGAAAGAATTGTATGAAAAACCAAAGCATCAGAGCTGGCATTGCTCCATCTGGCTTGCACAGCTCCATTTGGAATTTAAAAAGCCCATTTATTTTGTATTAGGCAAACAAGAAACTGGTACAAAGCAACATGGGGGACCTACCACTTCTTATATGTGCATGGCTGGGTTCAAGACAGCAGTGGACAGGCACAGGCTCAGAGGGCACCTAATTCCCAAGCACATCAGCTGCTGCTCAACTCTTCTCCTTCTGCTTTGTACCACTTCTCAATTTCTTTCCTAGTCTTGATGCAATTTTTCCTACCTCTCAAGGTTCTCCAAAAGCCTCAGTGGGGTGTGTAAAGGCTTGGGGCTCTGTTTTGAGCCAGTGCCCCAATTTTTGAGGGTTCTGCTATTGTGCTATTACTGCCCTGTCACACCTGGCACTCAGCACCAGTCAGAGCAGCAGCATCATGTGAACAAGCCTAACTCAGCACCTTGCAATGCCAGGGTAAGGCAGAGTTAAAACCTGCAGGCTTGTATTTGTAGCAGCAAGATTTGGTTCACTGATTTTATTGCAAGAAGCTGTGACCACTGCTGGAAAGACTGCAGGGGAGACAATGGGGAAAGTGAACACTTTCAGCTGTGGGACAGCAAAGAGTCACATCAGGAGTCTCCTGTGTCTGACTTTTATTAAATTTACTTCTAATATTTTTTTCTTATTTACTTTTTACAAAGTCTGAGCCTCTTAAAATAAGTGGAAAATTTTCCAGGGAGCCCAATAGCCTTTGGATGCAGTTTTCAGGGTGTGTGAACCCACCACCACAGTGAGAAATGCCATGGGGTTTTGGGAGCTCCTCTGTCACCTGCAGTGCAATACAGCTGATCTGGCTCTCCAGGTAAGGTAGGTTTTAGTCACAGCTGAATTGAAGAAGGTGTAGGTGATTGTAAATGTGGTGCATCAGTCACGGCCTGTATCTGCTTTTGAGGCAGTTTGATCAAAATAAAACACTGAAGCACTTGTTTTCACTTTTTGTTATTATTTCTGTCTTTCCTACGTGCATTCCTTGGATAAATGCAGAAATCTCACAGTGTGAACCCTGATGGAAAGCAGGAGCAGTTGGCAGAGGAAGGAGCAGCTCTCAGGCTGGAAGACCCTCACATGTTGATCAGACCAGGAGCTCCTGATGGGACAGTTTTCCTTGCTGACCTGCTTAATTAATTGACTCATTATCAGCAACTCACCCAGGAGCCATCAAACATCACCCATGAGAATATTTTCACTTGATATGCATCCCATAGAGAAATAAAATCTACTTATTTTTCATATTTCTCTGGCATATCATTTTCCTGCTGAAACACATACAGCTGGAGGTTTCCAGCTGGCCATGGAAGGATGAGAACTGAATTTGCAAATATTACAGCATGTTTCCATTTAACAATTGTTTTTTTTTAAAAAAGAGAAATATTTTATATAGGTTTAGTTGGATGTAAAAGTAGCTCCTCCCTAGGGGGACAGGCCTGGTTGGACATCACCACTGTACACAGGGAAAACAGCAGTGCTCAGGTCTACAAAGGCCACATGATACCAGAACACCTGAGATGTGTCCACTGCAGCAAGAATGACCTGCAAGGAAGAGGAAATTATGTATTTATTTTCTATTCTTCTTTCATTTTCTATTGGATGATTCACATAGCTTTTAACTGAACCAAAGAAACCCTCTTCATCTAAGCAAGCTCAAAAAAAGGCAGTGAAGAACTTTTTAGTGTTTATGAAGTTCTGTGAAGGTTGTGTCCCACTAGCAAGCCCAGCAGACTGTTCCCAAACACTAACAGCACCTGAGCTGCCACAGAAAAGCAGCATGGAAACAGGCATGAGGCCAGCTGAGTCTGGCTGGAAAGCAAAAGACCTGATTTTAGGGAAACTGGGAGGAGTGGCTGGCAGTTGCTTTTGTTCTGGACTGCCAAGCCACCACAATAAACCTTTCACTCTTTTCTCTCCTTCTCTACATCTCTTTTGAATGCCATCATTTGCCCAAGAAAGTGCCATTAAAACTATACCACTCAAAAAGAGTTGTTTGACCACCATCCCTTGAAAAAAATCAGTTTGGCAAAACGTGTTAATTGGCAAGTCCTTTACTTATAAATTCTGCTCAGGTTGGTGGCTGAGCCAAGGGCAGGGCTGGCCTGGCTGCAGCAGATGGTGGATTTGCATCATTCACTCTTGCTCTGTTAACATTAAGCATATGCTGAATGATTTATTGCACAACTGTGAGTTGGGTGGTGGCCATGGGAAGAGTTTTATCCAAAACAGGAGGAAAAGTTGATTGGTCAGTGATGGGGCTGAGGATCAGCCCTTGAATGTCCTGTCAGCCTTCAAAGATGTGGTGGCATTCGTGGGCAGTGCTGTTTGCAGAGCAGTGAAGGTGTCCAATCATTTACTGCAGGTGCTTCTCTTTTATAAATGTCACTTCATACCACTGAAACCCCAGCAACCAATGTTTTGTTCTGCTGGGCTAAATTAATCCTCTAATTACACTTGTAAAAACACCTCTGAAAATCTGTGCCTGTTACGACACAAATCACCAGTTCTTCCCAAGAATGCTCTTCCAAGGAAGCTGTTGTGGGATTTTCTGCCTGTTCCCATGCAAGGTGCAGGCAGCATCAAACACTTTTGAGGGTTTAGTCATTCCTTGGTGAGGTAGATGCTCTGTAGTGGTGGCCAGAATGACCACAGACATATTTTAGCCTGTTTTTCAGCACTGTGAAGTTCATTTAGCCACTCAATAAGGATGTTTTGCACCTCTGATGTACAATGAGATAATTTGTGGAGACTTCTAGAAAGACTCAAAGTGGAGAAAGTTATTGATGGATTAACACATGATAATTTTGAATTAATTTTTCCATAAAGGACACATGAAGTAAATTTAGAGTTCAGTCAGTGCTTCTACGCTGGGAAATAGAAAAGACAAAATTAAAGATGGAAAATGCTACTTCAAAATTTGTGATGAAGATGAGGGATGAACTCAAAGCATCCTTTTCCCTGAACAGCCATCTCCATTATAAATACAAAGGAAGACAATTCTTGAGCAGCTCAGCAGTACCAGGCAGAGAGTGGGATCCTGATGCCCATTGGGATTCTAATGACTGAACAGCCAAGGGAATTCTGACCAAGGATTCCACTTCCAAAATGAGAATTTCCCCTTCTACCCAGGAGATGGCACTAAGGCATTCAGGCAAAAAGCATCACTTCAGCCTTGCTGAAAACCTGTTTTTCTGAAGTTGTACATTGCGGGGAGGAAAGCTGCAAATTTTACATTCACTGGGTTGTGATGGGACCAATTGAGTGTCCTGAGGGGGAACACGTTTCTGATTGTCCTTCTCATGGCTCCAGTGAGTTCTCACCAGATCAGAGCAGCCTCCATCCAGGGATGTTCCTCTGTTTTGGACACAGGGAAGTACCAAATACTCTGAAGAAATGTGCCTACAGCTCGACCATAGCAGTAACAAGGCAGGGTCCTGGAAAACATCTCCTGATCTCTACCAACCACTTCCTGACTCATGCCCACCTTGTTTCTCTGTGTTTCAGGGGTTTTCTCTTGCACTTTGTTACTACTGTAAAACCTGGTTGCATCCCATTTTGAACCCTGTTGAGCTCATGGTTTGTGCCATCTTGGTGCTGCAGAAAAAGGACTGAAAATGGATGGTGTTGAGGTAAAGCCAGTATTATCTAGAGCTTCTCACCTCTGCTTGACCCCAGTGCTCTTCACTCACATGAACAGGATCCACCCACTGAAAATCCAGAGCATTGTTGGAGGCACCAGGAAAACTGTAATCCTGCTCCTGTGTCTGCTCCCTTCTGCCATCTGGATATATTATATTATATGGATATATAATATTGATATATTCAGGCACACAGCCTGAATGTCCCCTGTGTGCAGCAGCGACTCCCGGGGAGCTGTGAGAGCCCTTTGGTCTGTTTGAACTGCCTTGGGACCATCAGTTTCCATTCCCAGGGAGTTGGGATGGGGCAATCACTGCCATGACACACAGACCCCTGTTTGGAATGGGCAATGAGGGCTGGAGAAACAAAGGTTTGAAAGAAAATTTTGGGAAGAGAAATGGCAGGAGATGGGGATGCAACAGGCTGGATCCTGGATGGGGGCTGAACTGTGAGCACAGTTTTCAAAAGCTGCATCTCTAAGCCTGGTCTCCAAATCTGGGAAGTACCTGAGCAAGGATGCTGCCAGAAAAACCAGGAAGGACATTTATCTCCAACATCAGCAGCTTCCTTCCTTCTCCCTGGCACAAACTTGAGGACCCCTTTAGCAAACCCAGCACCCATTTGACTGACTGAATATCCTCATTAGTGCTCCTGACAGGGTGTAGCACAAACCCAAGATTCTTATCCAGGCATTTTTTTTCCACCGTGGTTGTGATTAGAATTTAGCAATATTCTTTTTCCTAGTGATGCTACCTTGTATATGTGCTCTGAGAACTCATCTAGACACACCCCCCATCAGTGCAGCAAAACACAGCAGAGCAGTGTGGAAATCAGTTTGAAGAGCCCAACTCCAGCATGGGAAGACAGGAAAATGATGCTTTTTTCATAAGAGAAAATTATCAGTAAGGCCACGAGGTTAATTTTTAAGTGGTGTAAAAGCACACATTCTCCTTGAGAACATCTCCATTCTCATGGTCTTGTTTTCCTCAAAAAAGTCAGACTCTGTCTCCTCTCTGAGGTAAGCAAGTATTTTTCCCTATTTTTTAACTTAAATATTTCTGTCCTCTAAAATTGCCACAAGTCAGCTACACTTAGCTACAGTGGAAATCCCAAATGCTGCATGAGCTGTGATCAGCAATGCCCCACACCAGAGCAGATTTGCAGAAATTGTGGCCCATTCTACTTCCCCGTATCATCTGCTTGGAGCTTGGCCCTGCCAGACATCATTTTGCTAAATCCCACAGAATTCAGATGATGAACTCCTTGGGGCAGGTGCTGCTGTGTCTACATAGGTCCTGCCACCAGCAGGTCTGGGGATAGTTGATATTACTGTAAAATAAGTTCCTTTTCTCATTATTTTTGACACTTTAGCTGTATTTGTTAAAAAGGTCTTGCCTATCCCTCAATACTGCAAGGATGTCCTTTAAAAGGAATACCTTTTAGGTGTTGGGGAGAGGTTTCTCTACACCACCTACTCTGGGATAATTTTAGCATCAATTTAGAAGATCCAGTCAGATCACTAAAGCCACAGCAGACGGCTGTCAGCCCTTTGCAGGTCTGGGATCGGTGGCTCTCCATTGCCATCTTCAGGCTGGGAGCAGCCTTGATCCTTCCAGAAACCTACAAATCCCAAACGGACACGGCAAACTCAATTCCCGTTTAGCCAGCATTAGCTGAAATTGATGGTCAAAACCTGGAATAAGTTGTTAAACGTAAAGGAGGGGAAGGAGCTCTGCAAGACTGACACTCAGCTACCCTGGACAACATGGATATTTCCCTCCCTGTAAGTGCACAAGGTTTTAGAGAGTAAATTAACACCAACCATGCTGTTTAACACACACTACTTCTCACTGAGAGGCAAAGTTTTATCACCAAGTTGTCTTTAAAGTACATAAATTGAAACTGCCTGAGTGGTTTTAGCTCTGTAGCCTTCATTGTCCCCCTGCAAAAAAAACCTTTTTCTGACAATGATAAAAGCTGAGGTTCTTGGGAGATTTTAATCATAATTTGTACTTAAGGAGGTCTTTGGCAAACTTTTCACATCTGATAGACATGGTGGTAGGTTTGGTAGAGATGAGGTTTCCAAGGCTTTCAGGGTCTCTGATGAACAATATCACACAGCTTGGAGCGCCAAAGAGCTGTAATCACAGAACAACACAAGTAACACATCCTAAAAGGAATCAAAAAAATGTGGAACAATGTAGGTGCCCTGGTCCAACAGAGCCAGCCTAGGTGAGGCTCCTCAGACCCAGCATTGTCACTCAATGAGCATCCATGCCACTCCCCCACCTTGCCAGTCTCCAGACAGTGTCTGACCACCATCACCGTAAAAAATATTCTCCCAATTAGATCTGTCTGGAAAATAACTTTCTAGGAGCCCAGAAAATCACAGAACCATAGAATGGTTTTGGTTGGAAGGGACCTTTGAAGGTTGTCTTTCCCAACCCTCCTGCACGGAGCTGGGACAAATGCTGCTACTGAGAAGAACACTCCAGCAGCCAAACTCTCAGGTCTCACAGTAGTTTGGACCAGGTCCCACAACTGTTTATACATTTTTCCCACTGCCTCAGTCCCTGAAACCCCAGCTCTCAGGGCCAGAATGGATGATCCCAGTGATTACCACAGCCACCCTAGCACCACTCAGTGACTGGACTCTCTCCATCGCGGTGTCCATCGTGCATCCTTCCCAAAGGGCAGCCATTGTGCAGAGATGGGAGATGACCAGTCCAGCCTCTTCAGGAAGATGCTGTAGCTGTCTGCATACTCAGAAACCCAGCGGCTCCTGCAGAGAACACGGAGAAGGGGATAAGGAGGGGACCTCCACCCTGTGCTTCATGCACCAGGACAAGGGACCTGCCTCCCCCTCTGCACTTGACCAACCAGCCAGGAATGTGTGTAGGGCAAACAAAAGCACATTCAGGTGGCATGGGGAAGAGGGGGAACTGCCTGTCTCCATCAGGAACAGGGCAGATGCTGCAACACACACGGCTGCCATCGGGATCAATCTCCCGCCTGGACCAACCGTTAGACAGGCACAGTCTCCACCCCAAATGTAACTCCAGGATCACAGATTAAGATCTGCAATGCAGAGCTGAAATAAATCTGTGTTAGGGGAAGGTGGGGGGCATGAGGCAGCGGGGAAGAATTGCCTTTCCAGTGAGAAATGAGAGCTCAGGAGCAGTTTATGCCTGTTTGGTTCACAGTGTGCAGATGAGTCACGTTGCAAACAGCTCCTGCCCTGTTTGATTTGAGAGAGCCCTTTCCCAGGGGAAGCCTGGGCATGGAAATGATGAGACATTCCTCCTGCCCCAGCCCCATGGAGATCTTCTTTCCACTGTGATGAGGCTGTCCCAGAAGTTGTCTCCCCATTCCTCTCAACCCTGCTGCAAAACTTTTCAAGAAAAGGCTGATCAGGCTTTGGAAGTGGATTTGTCCCTGAGGGAATTTCTTTGGGCCCATTGCATAACGTGGACAAGGGAAACACCTTCCAACTCCAAGCAGCTCCAAAATCTCCCTGACCTACTCCTACCCTGTCCCCCACTCCCAGCAGCCACCCTTTGCTCCCCACCCCATTTCCCCCTTACTCATTGAAGCGGTTATCTTCAGGGAAAACGGGAGAAGGCCTTATCTCCTCTGTGTAGAGCGCACCACGGACTCCTTTCCAGTGCTCAAAATCTTGCTTGTAGGTACTTTTCCAGTCGAGGTCAGAGTAGTCTAGTGAAAGAGAGTCCAAATGATTTAAAGATTTATTTTTTTTTGCATCTCTGTCTCCTATATTGAACAGTCTGAGTGTTCCCCCTACCCCTGAACTCCATCAGCTCTTTGTGCTTCCAGCACTCCTGTTGGAGTTACCATGATGAAGGGATTAACCAAGGGAAAATGCAGTAACTACTTCCCTGGTGTAGATAAGGTCATTTAGAGAGATTATTCAGCCCTTATTTTCTATAGCCTGTGTGAGGGAAGCCACACAAGGCAGACCTGGAAATGATATCTTGTTATCTTCCTGTCTGGATACTGACTTGTCACCTGGTATAAATCTTCCCATACTGTCTGTTTTCTTTTCCATCCTGCCATTCACCAGGGACTAAACCAAGGAAGAGATTCATGGCTCACTTAACCCCTAATTGAGGATCATCACAACTGCTGTGATATCTTCCCCAAAAATCCCTCTGGGAGCTGGTTTGAAGAGGTACCATCTCCCATCTGACTCTCCAGAGATGTCTTATCTGTGTGTGTACAGCTTGGTCTGTGTCCTTCTGGTCAGATCTAACTGGGGATAAACATGCAGGGAAGACACACTAAGAAGAGCCACCCACTGTAGACAGATTTTCTGGGTATTTTAAGAATTACACTTTCCTATAATGAGTCATTGGTATTTTTGTTGTTTTCACTGAGGCTGAGGTTACAGGTGTCTCACACGTGCATGGCCATGTCAGGCTGTTAATGCAACCCAGCATTCCTGCCTTATGACATTATTTCCAGGGAGACCACATTGAGCAGGGCTGTGGTCCATGGGATGGGCTGTCTGGAAGGTGGGGTGAAAGAAACACCATTTACAACACTCCAACCTCTTCTAGAAAATAACTGTTTTCCTTTGCCCTGCTTCTCCCCACCAATGGACAGATGGTTACAGGGGATCTGTGAACCCTTTCTGTGTCACTCACTTTCACTTCACCCTCCTCAGTTTCTTCTGGAATCACATTAAAAAGCATAAAGCCAGGCTGAAGGCCACCAGTCATTCTCATGGGGCAGCTGCCACAGCCTCCATCCACTGACCTCTCATTAAAACAGATGAGCTCGTGTTCTTGGTTTTGTATTTATCAGCATTGTGCAGCCCTTCCAGGTACAAATCCTGGGCGAATTGCTGGTAGGTGACCAAGCCCGTGGACGGCAGTTGCTTCGGCACCAACGCCTCTGAGACGTGGGAGGAGAAGTGAATTAGTCAGGAATCACCATCAATTACTCACCCAAATCCTACCCTTTGAATAGGGTAAATTGAAGTCCATCTGGCAAAAATTATGGGAGACCCAGTCAACTTTAGCAGAGCTTTGATGGGGTGCATCAATTTTGGGGGTTCATGACAACAAGTTGAGGAAGGATTTATGTTGGTGCAAAGCAAGAGGAAGGAGCCCACTGTCTCCACATTGCCCTGGAGTGCCAAAAGGAGACCCTCTGCAGCAGGTCTGTGTGTGAGAGGGAGAAAAACTGCACTGCTGGGACATGCAGGAGCAGAGCAGGAATGGAAAAGCGCAGGAGCTCAGGACCTCTGACCAACAAACCAATATGATTTTGCAGACGTCCTTTATTGTTTACATTATACACTTATTTATACATTCTAAAACTGCTGTTCACGTGATCACACATCTTTTCATTGGTGCCCCTATCCTGTCCACTCGCTCTGCACACACCCCTCAGGGCACAGGATTGGTTACAGTCCAGGTGTTCCACTGCCCTCTGTTATCTGGCTCTTGTGGTCCTGTTTTCTTGTTTTTCAGCCTCTTTTTCTTATTTTTAGAATAGCTTATGTCTCAGCAACCTTGAGAAATTCCAGAGGGACTGATAATAAACTCTAAATATAGTTTGGCTGGAGCACATCACGGCCCAAGCTGTTTGGATACATTGCTACAGAAAAGCCCACAGGACTTTTGTCATTAGCATATGACAGCTTCAGATGGGTTTGGTAAGGAGATCTTTGAAGGCCTCAGGTGTAAGTGGAGCCCATAGGGAGACACATCTGTCTGAGATGCTTGTCCAGACTCTCCTATTGAGTGGAGAGAGAAACCCTGCCAGAGTTTACTTCACCTCTCTGTCAGGGTGGCATTAAGCTACAGGAGATGGCAGTGTCTTTGCTCCCCTCTGATCATGAAAGGAACCAGAACACAGGCATCCCACACTGGGAGAGATCAGCTCAGGGAACAGTGAGGACATTCCTGGTCATGTTTCCTGTTTGTTCTACTCAGCAATTACACCCTCTTCACTCTCAAGCAGGAGCTCAGAGAAAAATCCCCATGCTTTAGGATGGTTGTGCGTGGCTGAGTGATATTTGGTGACCAATCCTTTTGTTTTCCTGACTTCCATGAGAATTTTAATCCAAGCAAGCAAGCTATTAGATGGTGTGGCTGCAGCCTGGCTAGCAGCACCTTTGCTGCATTTGCTGTCAGACAGGCACCCTTAGCAGAAGGCATTTGAACCACTCAAACCCTTCACACCCAACCAGAGTCCTTTTCCCTCCCTGCAATTCTACAACATGGGGTTGACTGCATCTCCCTCTATCCCAACAGAACTGTGAAGATAAAACCCTTAAAGACCCTCGCTAGGAAGTGGCTCTTTACACACCAAGACGTTTCTAGAACCCCAGCTCCCTCTGCCTGTGCTTTGAGCTGGCCTGGGAGCTGCAAATTCGTGGTGACAGGGTGCTGTGCCCATGTGTGAATTCTTGCCAGGCTCAGCCCAGCACTGAGGCATCATCAGGATGCTGCCATCCATGTGTGTCCAGCCAGCAAGGACCAGGGGCTGGGGGGCTGGCAAAGGCCCAGGCAGACAGTCCCTCAGGCTGCTCACCAGCAGTTCCACCATCAGGACTTACCTTCAGTTCTAGCTGACAGAGGAGGAATGGACGGGCAACAAGACAGGTCGTGCATAGGCTCAGCAAGAATCTCCAGTTTCCCCACCCGTCCTGGTGTCAGGTCAGAGGCGTAGCACTCTGGAAGGTAGCACTTGGATACTTCTGGAACAGGAGGGAATGAAGGTTTCTGCAGAAAAAAGCCCCATGTGAATGGAGAGGCAGCAGCTAGGGAGGGCAGCTGCTAAAGCATCGTCAATTTGCCCACAGAAAGCCCAGAGTTTCTGGGGATACAGTGGCCACAGAGCAACTCTGTGGCTCTCACTGACTCACAGGAACTGGCACAGCTTCCTCTGTCTGCCCATCTTACAGCTTGGGACTGTGCTGGGCCCTGGGTGGGCAGTGGCAGGGAGGGAGCCCTGGCAAAAGCAGTGGGAGAGGGAAAAACTCCAGGGTTCATGTCAGGGAAAAGCTAAAGGGGATTCTGGTGTGGCTGCTGCCTCCAGCTGCACACCACAGCTCCAGATGCTTTTAAGGGGTTCAGAAAGGGATTCTCTTGCTGTGAGCTCTTCCAGGCTGCTGGGCCAGCAAGGACCATCCTCACAGGGTTTGTGTGTTGTTGTTTTGGAACTCTGAGGGTTTCTGTTTGTCCCTCAAACTCCAGGGTTTCAATCCCCTAATGTTTTTCCTTTTCCAGGCTGGCAGTAGGGAAGGTAGAGGCTGCAGAGCTACAGGAATTACCTGTGTCTGGGGGATTCCCCACTGAGGATGGCCAGAGCTTCTCCTGAGGTATCTCCAGAGGGACAAGAGCCTCCAGGAGACCCTGCACCAGCCAGTGCTTTCTTCCTTAACCCAAGGAGTTCCCCTTCCCCTTGGGAGTAGGTTAGTGCCCAAAATTTCACAGATAAAAATATCACAGTTGTTTTACCCACTTACACAAGAACAAATCCTATCAGGGCCAAGAGGGAAACATGAGCCTCCTGAGTATCTCATCATCACACTCCCCAGTGGGACAGCTTTCTTTGGCAGGCCTTTGGGAATTAACAAGGAGCCAAAGGGAGCTGCAACCCAAGAGAATCAGACACAGCTTCCTCCCTTCCCGTCTCCCAAGCTACACAAGCACCTCCACAGAAAGCGTACAGCCTTTCCAAAGTAACATTTAAGTGAAATAAACAAAGGAAAAGGAGAAAAGAAAAAGAAACTGAGCTGCACGGCTTGGAAAGTGCGCTCCAGCAGGCAGGGGTTAAACCCTGCCCTGGCAGCCGGGCTCCTGGAAGCGGAGCAGCCACCTCAGGCTGGGGCTGCCCGGGAAGCCCTGGCCAGCCCGGAGAACAGCGGGAGCCCCGAGCAGCAGCGCTAATGAAGGCTGCTGGCAGCGGGAGAGGAGAGGAAGAGGAAGAGTGAGAAGAGAGGAAGAGGGAGAGGAGAGGGCTCCCCAGGCTGCTGCCCGGGCGGGGATGGCAGCGGTGTCCGCCGACAGCCCCTCTGCCCCGGCGGGCACCCTCACACAATGATTTCTCTGTTGTTGCCTCCCCGTTTTCCTCCCCAACCTCAACTTTTTTTTCCCTCTCTCGTGAGCGTACGAGCCCAAAGCACTCCGGCAGCCGAACATGCCCCCCACCACCTCTCCGCAGTGGCCCAGTGCAAACCGCAGCTGTCCCCACCGCGCTGCCACAAGCAATTAAACCAGGGCAGGCGGAGCGAGGCAAATCAGATTAAATAGCTCAGGGGGTCGCTTGCACCGCAAGGAGATTAGAAAAAAACAACCCCAGCTTCCCCACAGAAGTCTTCTCAAGCCCGTGTGAGGGCAAGGAGCCATCTCCATCCCAAAAGCAAGGCTGTCCCGGGATGGGTCTAATCCCAGCCGCACGGGGAACGAGCGAAGCCCGAGGCTCGGGCATCGGCTCAGCAAGCACTCGGGGGTGCCCTGACTTAATGAGCGTAATTAGCATCGCTCCCCAGCAGCAGCTTTAGCAGGGTGCAAGGGGGGGTTTCCCGCAGGAGGGACGGGGAACAGGCCGAGGGCATTTGGGCCTGGTGGGAGCAGCCGGGGGCTCAGGGCAGCGCAGGCCG